ACAGAGGCCAAATGCCAAAACAGTTATCCTTGTTCCAGTATTTCTGGTCCTGACTGTACTTTGGGTCCTGTCTTTCAAGCATGCCTCTCTTACCAGATCTGATGGAACAGGTAGAAATAATTGAGGAGAGGCAGTCCTACAAATAACCCACTCCCATGCCATTACAGGCTTTATAGAGGAAAACCAACACCTTGAATTGCACCTAGAAACATACTGAGAGTGTATGGGCATGCTGAGGGCCCCCCATAAATGCCCTGCCGCATTCTGGACCAGCTGAAGTTTCTGGATGTTCTTCGAGGGCAGCCTCATGGACAGCGCATTGCAGGCGACCAAGGCATGAGTGACCGGGAGCAGTGCCTCTCAGTGCAGGAAAGGGCACAACTGGCACACCAATGAAAGCTGTATTTAGTATGTGTTTGGGAAAAAGTGTTTTCTTTCAGTGTTTCCTTGGTACGTATCTTTCGCAGGTTGCATTGGTAGGGTAGGAGAGCATTTGGGGGTCCTTAAGATGAGAGCATTTTTCTTGGGAGAAAAAACAGGGACATCTACAATACTGTACAAGCCCCATTTAAACTACCTACCTTAACCCATCGCTTCCTGCGGCACTTCTCGGCCGGGCAATCTTTCGATTTCGCTGCTTCTTTAGGAGCTGCGCACATTGCTAACAGCAGAGGCAACCGCCAACTAGCATGAAGCTTCCCTTAGCAACGGAGCCACCCCGCTCAACTTTCCCTTCACAATGAAAATGCCGGTTGTCAGAGGTCAGAGGCCAGAGGCATGAGAAAGACCCATTGGATGAATCAGGCAGGAGAGAGCTTGTGGTTCAACCCCCACGTTCTGGATAAGCCGCGCAATCATTGGAAGCGACGGTATGTCAATCATGGGGTCTAGGGGAGGGAGCTTTACCTGGAAGAGGAAGCTTGTCTCGGTAGCGCGGCTTTCTCTCTTTTTAAGCCGCCAGCCTGGTGGATTGCCGTTGGCTTGCAGGAGCCACCAATGAAGAGGAGGTTCCTTCCTGGGCTGTTTTGGGAAGTTATTTTCTGGGGTTTTTTTCTTCCAGTTGTAGCTTCTTCAGGTTGGACTTGTAGACCGCAGTGCTGCGGGATAACCAGGGGTTTCCCTTCCCTCTGTCTTATAAGAACAAGTCCCGCGATCATTTTCTGCTCTGTATTACTAAGTGTGTGACCTGGCCGGCGATGGATTTAAGTATATAGAAGCGGCGAACGATTTAAAACAAGTCAATTCGGGAGATTGGAGTCTCCTCATGCACTGTCTCCTGCCCGGTATATTGCGTTTATCTGCCTTAAATCGCTTATGGCTTGCCCTTGGTGAAGTATAAGGATAGAAGGAAAACGAGTTTGCCTGCTACAGATTACTGTTTTTAAGTACAGAGAGCAGGGAGTATGTAGAGAATCAGATACAACTGAATTCTCTTCGGATGCCCCTGAATGGGAATGTGTGGAAGCTGAAGGCACAGCATGATAGCCTGTTGAGTGAACGGGCTTCTGCATCGTGAGAAAGTGGGAGAAGTAGTCCCCTCACTCCTTTAGGCCTTCCTGGAGATCTGTCCCTTCTCCTTAATGCAGGATATCATGTCTCAGGAAAGCAAGCATGGGAAATGGACAGTGTCCAGTAGTGATGACAGTATGGATGAGTTAGCTGATTGTGACAAGCCCTCTACCTCTGTGATGCAGAGAGGCCGGGAAAGTAAAGAGAGGGCCCCCCCTTACTCTTGCTCAGAAGCAAGGAAAGCTGCTCACAAGAGAAAAATGTCTCCTCTGAAATATATAGATGGAAACTTTCTACAGGAGGAGGCCTCCGATCAGAAACAGAAACCTCCCCGGGAAGACTCTGGCTGGTGTCTTTCCAGCAGTGAAGATGAGGATCTTAAAAGCCCAAGCGGAAACAGAGATGCAGTAACCACAGCCAGAAAAGTGGAGAGTGGTACTCCTGTGGAGCTAGCAACAGCTTGTAAGACTTCATCACGTCACAAGTTTGCAGACACATCTGAAGTGCAGGATACGTGGGATCTTTTGAATGGGCAGAACCCTTTCAGATTCTTCCTCACTAAAGTCAAAGGAATTAAGTCAAAGTACAACTCTGGAGCCCTTCATATAAAAGGTAAGCAATATCAAGGCAAAAAATACTGGAAAGTGTGCCCGAATGTTCTAATGTTTTGTTTTTCTGAAACAATTACAGATGTTATTGTAACTGGCATATAAGTAACATAATGCAGTAACAGAGCCTGAGGCCCTAATATTGCACCCAGAGAAACTTTGCTCTCTGGCCAAGCTCCCTGTTTACTGATTTTTTTTTTTTTAAGATTAATTTACAAAAAATGAATGGGAAGTAGCATACTGCAGAACATCAGCCTCAAGGATAATTTGCATTTTCAACAGTGCCTCTGGGCTCTGCATAGACCTCGGAGGCATTCTTAGAAACTAAATTAGTGTGTTATGCAAAATGTGCCTACTGGCCCAGAAAGACTAGAAGATCTTAGAGTTTCTTTCACAATTACCAAATTGACTTAGATTTATCTGTGTTTTATGACTGGCATTTCAACTTACAAATGAACTCCATTGAAAAGCATTACATTTTATTTGGGCAAAAGAATTGCTATATCTTGTTTGATATCTGTGAAGGCTTGTTTATGTAAGTCATCCTTTTTTAAAATTTATCTATCAAGATACTAAACATGTATATCTTAATCAGTTTAGTGCCTTTCTGGTTTTGCTACCAAGATATGCTAATTGGTAAATCTGCAGGGCAGGTTCTGTTCTTACTGTATCTCAGCTGCGTATTTTGCTGGAATCACTCAAAATAAGAATGCCCAACGAGATCAAGTTCTAATATTGGGGGGATAGGCGGCATACAAACTTAATAAGTAAATATTGTTGAAATAATGGCTGTGAAAACCTTGCCAAGGTGTACTGAGGCATTCTTCTGAACCTGCAACTTAGACTGTGACAATTCTGATGTTGCTAGGAATGAATACTCAAACTGAAAATTGTGATTACTTTTTAATTATGGCTTAGTAAACCAAACCAGGACCAGAAACTATCTTAATCTCATTTTGTTTAAATAAATCATGAAGTTTAAACAACTGCATTTTGTCCTAATTTGGATAAACCAGAATATTGCAATTAGCTGAAAATAGACCTAGTTGCTTTCATTTGACTATGGCTACAGTGGAGGAGGCTGTTTATGTTGCTATTTGACTGAACATGCCCATTGCCTGGTAGGGTGATAACATGTGTACTGCATTTACTAAGTGATGGTTTGTTTAACTAGTGTAAATAAAAACAGCTGGTTGGACTCACATAGGGTGGTGAACCATAAACTATACTTAACCATGAACAAGCAAATTATGTTATGGATTTTGTATTTGGAGTAAACATTTCTTGCTGTCACATGTCTGTTTCTATATCGTGGTATAAGTTATAATATTTGTTTGGTTTGTACTTCCTGTAGCATATGAACCTGGGCTGGATTAAATCTAGGCTTGGTCACATAATGTTGGTAAAAAAAAATGTGTTACCTATTTCAGTAGAAATACTTACTTGCAATAATCTTTTCTTCTTATAACAGATATTTTATCTCCCCTTTTTGGGACTCTTATATCATCTGCTCAGGTACATTTTATGTTATTATTGTCCTTTTAAATTAAAATGGAGTTTTTCTTTTCCATGGTAATCTAAAATTTCAGAATAGTCTTTTGGAAATGTATAATTAAAATGGCTCTGCTGGTATATTAAAAAAGGTCCAACAGCCATGGCAGAACAATAATTTTCTTAAGACTAATATCACGTAATGGGTGGTAGTTCTAAAAAACACAAAATCTTGCATATATATGGCTTACTTTTTATTTTAATGGTATTTAAGAATACGTATCAATTTGCATTATTAATAAACTTATGAATTACACATTCATCAGAAGACTATTACTAGGGATGGTAAGTCAAGATTTTGTAACGTTTTAACTTATGAACAATTTTTGTGCTCCTGCTCACTGCTGCTTGCCCAGATTTCTGAGTGCAAAAGTCTAAACAAATTAATTATGGTATTTTTTTATTGTGCTATTTTCTTAGTTAGGAACCCAGACTTGTTATTCTCCAGTAAACCCAGATTGCACATTAACAATACAACCAGGTTTTCAGCACCTGCTGTTAAGAAATATAAGTTGGAATCTACAGTTTGGAAAATTGCTTGTTTAATTAGCTGTTTATTCTTGAGGGAAAAGCCAAGCACAGATTAATAGAATGTGTGCAATTAGGCTCAATTAGGAGAAACTACAATCTCCCAAAATCCTGGCTTAATTTTTTCATCTGTTATTGTACATTGTATATAATGGCATTTGTTAATTTTCTAATACTTTACACTGTGTTCAATTATGTATATGTTATGTCTGTATGTTTATGTATATATTTTATGGATTGGGCAGCATACAAATATCTATATTAATAAATTATACATACAACTGCTAACATGCTATCATTCATAGGCATAACATTGCATCCCCTTCCTTTCTTTTTTTCTCCATGGCAAAGTTTAACTATTGTATAGATGTGGAATGGCTGGTCAAACAATATCCAAAGGAATTCAGGTACATAAAAGAGCTTCAGTGTTTAATTTCAGATTCCATTTTCTATTTCTAATTTATGCTTCTAAGTTTACTATTGTGGTCAGTGTTGTGAGATAAATGTTATTTGCTACATTAGATAAGAAAAATGAGTTTAAGATTACAGCAACAGTATCACTAATTTTTCATGAGAAGGTGCCACTCTTTGGAGAAAACATATTTTTGTGCTGAACTTTAATGCTTTGCATAATTTTTATTTTAAAATATATTTCACATTTATAAAAAATATTTTTCTTCAGCACTTTTCTTAATTCATAATCTTAATATTAGGATAATATCCACGTGCACTGCATTAATTTAAAATAGTAGTGACTTTGATGCAATAGCTTTTTTCAATGCTTTCTGGTAAAAAGGTAGCATATACATGTAGTCCCCAGTCTATGCAAGAGTTCTGTTCTAGAGAGCTTATGGAAGTTGATTTTTAGGCACCTTGGATTGTGCATTATGCACAAAATGACAGTTGACATTTTCACAACCCTTTGTGTAATGTTCAAATTATGTAATTCAGGGGTTATGTAACCCAGGGATTGCCTGTTACTTGCCTACCAGATATTCAGATAGGAGAAATCTCAGCCAGCATCGACTGATAGATATGATTCAAAATTCTGGAGATGTAGTCCCAGTGCATTGTGAAATAAAAGTTTCTCTGGTCTTGAACGATTGAGCAACACATAAATAAGGCAACCTCTTCCCTCCCCATGGATTCTGTGAGGAAATACATCTGTTCATTTTTGTTTGCTCCCCTTTAATTTGTCCTACCAATTTCCTTTAAATTGTGTGGTGCTGAATTCCATTGTCCTCCTTAATTCATCACATTTATGAAGGTTGGGGTGAGGAAAAATGGAAGGGAAACTCAAGTGGGGTTACAAATTTCTTTCAGAATCCTTGTGGGTAGGGCAGGGCACCCTACCTTATTTTGTGCTTGCAATGCATATGGGCTTTCTTCATGCTTGTATTTGCTTTCCAGGAATGACTACCTAATTATATAATGTCAGTGAGGTTAGCATTCTTGGAAGAAGTAGGAAGATAAAGTTGACCCTCCCATGCTGCTATGAAGGGGCATTTTTAAGTGGAAGGAAAAAAATAAAGTATGATTAAAACATTTCACAATGATCCTTGAGAATGTAGCGCAACATACTTCTAAGATTATTAAGCTGTTTCAAATAATTGTAATTAACTAGAAGCTTGTACAAGTGAGTTTTTTTTAATTGTTTTATTTTTAGGGACAAACCTTTATTAATAGTCCATGGAGAAAAACGAGAATCCAAGGCACAGCTGCATGAAGATGCTCACCCGTATAAAAATGTTCGTTTATGCCAGGTAATCACTTTTATTATCACTATATGCAGTACTCTCACCTGCTTATACTATTCTATACAATTGGGTGGGACAATCTGCAGTCCCAAAGGCCAGCAATCCCCAGTGATCTGTATAAAACTTGCTAAGCCAAAATGGGGCAAGAATGGTACAAGTCCATATCATGTTTGTCTCCTGACTCATTTTACACTTCCAACAAAATTAAATGGATAGCCAACCCTTCTAAAACATCTCAGGTATCAAATTCACATGAAAAAAACTTGAATTATACTCTTATAATTGTAAGAAACATATATCTTTTTCAAGACGCTTTGCCGTTGATTTATTAATATAGTATATTTCAAATGTTTATTTCAGAGCTCTTGCAGGTAACTAATACCCACTTTAGCAATATTTTCGATTGGTTGGAAAAAATGAAGTCTCAGAATTGGCCGAAGTACACTATAATATTGATAGATTTTGGTTTGTTAGATATGTATCCCACTTTTCATATAGGAGCTCAAGGAAATTCAACTTCCTCCTCCAAATTTCTCCACAACAACCACAATCCTGTGAGGTAGGTTGGGATGAGAAAGAATCACTGGCCCACAGTCACACAATGGATTATGAGCGTAGACCACAATTTAGGGCTCCCTGGAGCCAGTCTAACCACTAAATTAGAAGTTTTAGTCAGAGCTATTGCAGCAAGATGAAACTGAAATCCTGAGATATTTTAAATGAATATGCATCCATTTTACAGTTTGAAGTCATCCAAATTCCTTTTGCATTAATTCAAATCAGAGTACTAATACCCTTACTTAGGCATAACTTTAAAAAATGTAACTGTCATTTTCAAACAGACTTATCCCAGAGAAAGTGTTTTTTCCCTAATTTTTCACGTTCTCTCTTCTTCCACCTGTTTTCTCTCTTTTCTTGCATAATGTTCTACTTCATCCTTTCCTAACTTTGGCTATATTAGGACTGCATTCCTCAAAATTCCCAGACATTGTGACTATAGGTAATGCTTACTGGGAACATTGGGAATTGCAGCTTCAACACATCTGGAAGACAATGGCTTTGAGATACAATCCGAGAGATTTAAAATGAATGTGTGACCATTGTAGAAAATGATATGTGGAGTACCTTTGAAGATTACATTTTATAATATTGGCTATAAGAAGGCTATTGTGCAATTTGTGTAGCAGCCACCAGAGCGCAGTAAACTAAAGCAAAAGAGAAGATTTCTTACTATCACTTTCAATATAATGATGGGCACTATACCAAAAAACATGTTTTTAAACAATATTCTTATTGTAGGCGAAGTTGGATATTGCCTTTGGAACTCACCACACGTAAGTAATTTATAATATATGCAGAAAGTCAGCTATCGAAATTACTGTTGTAAATGCCATTGAGATCATAGAAATAATTAAAATCATGGTGTTGTGTTTAGATGCTGACAGAATACAAAAAAAAATGCTTCAAGATATACCAGTTACCTCTCCCTTCCTATCTATTCTTTTTACCATCCCTTTTGCTTCACCGTATATTGTTTTAGGGTAATCTGAGTGCTCTTTGAATTTGTAAACTTCCCCTTCCAGAATTCTCATTAGTGACCATATTGGGAATGAACATCTGGAAGGTGCCCTCATTGGTGAAGGCTACTTGAGAGTGCTATTGATGTATGGGAAGGCTTTCTCCTGGAAGGGAAATGCTTTATTATAAGCTGATAAGCTTATAATAAAAGGTATGATCCTATAAATCTCAGCCCTTTTAGTGTTGAAAATATAGACTTCAGCAATAGCTAATGGTTTATTTAAAATAATTCAAACATATATAGATTGTCCATAAATACATTTTAATTACTTCATTTTCAGCTTTTTGTGTCAGATGCAGCCAGACCTCAGTTACATTTCTATCCTATGACCATGTATGCTTTATATCAGAAGAAGGATTTCAGATTGCACAACCCTTCTCTGCAGTTTGTTAAAGGAGCCAGACAAAACAGTGCCACTGCTTTATTTATCCACTTTAATGAGTGGATTTCATAAACGCACCTGGGTTTTCTTCTCAGGCTTCCACAAAAGCCTGAAAAGGGTAGGTCTCCTTTAATGAATAGCAGAGAGGTGTTCCAATTGTGCATGATCTGAAGCACTTCTAACAAATAATTACTGAAGTGTATAAGACTTATTCTGTCATCTTTACACATTGGTCCACAGAAATTGCTGACTAGGATTCACAACTTTATAATTCTCTACGTGATGTTGTGCCTTTTAACAATATTCTGGCACCCAGGAATTTAGCACTTTCCCCAATATGGTATAGTATTGTGAAATGTTGCCTGTTTAAGTTCTGGATATCCTTCATTATAAAGGTGTCTGTTCTATAACTTCTTTGTAAAGTTTTACTAGCCCATCTTAACTGCTCATACCTAGGGCTTGCTAGATTGTGATGCCAAACCCCAGTTCAAAAATGATAAAGCCTAGTTTAAAAAGTCAAAAATGACTTCTAAATAGGCAGAGAAGATTTTATAAACTAGTATATTGTGTGATGAGTGGATGGATAGACAGAGAGCTGACAGATAATTTTTTTAATGGTCATAGACCAACACAAAAACAGTATATAAGAATATTTGCAACCAAATCAATAAGGAAAATCATAACTGTTAAACATGACTAGACAAAACATAAAACCAGAAAACATGACTATGGTTAAAATGAAAGCTATGTAAAAATGATAACAGGAAAGTAATGTCTAAAAAGCAGAAGTAACTAGAGTAATAAAAATACAGAATATACTTTTATTTCAGTGCATTTTCATTCTCAGGTGCCAGTTGCTAAGGCAACCTAACTGTTTGGAGGAAAACACCCAGGGCAATGTCAGACATTTTCTATTTAACAATCTATGGTAACTTAATGCTTTTTTTAAGTTGTCACAAAAATAAGAGTACAAAAAGGGCATGCGCCTATTGGATTTATTAGCAATCTTTTTAAAGTGGATGGCCATATTTATGTAAAAGATTGCAGGATCACCTTTCAGATTGTAGAAACAATCACATATCAGGGGACAGTTTTAAAATGAAATATAATATATTAAATCCACATCCATTAAAATTAGACTAGCCATTTAAAATGACAAATACCTTTAAAGTATCTTGAAAAATAAATGACGGAATTATATCAGTGGAGAATTCATAGACAGTAGTCAATTATATGGAAGCCCTGTTCTCTAAAATCTTTTAATGGGGAGATTAGAGTCCCTGAAATGTGTGTATGTATGAGTGATCCTTCAAATAATCAGTACAAGTTTTAAAGAAAAACTAATGCTTTGAATAAGCCCCCAGTGTAGCCAATAGAACCAGCATAATACTTGTCATTAACTAAGAATTACAAAATCCTAATTTAAGTAGGGCTATTCGGAACAAAAAGAATACTGCAAGAACACTAAAGTGGTATCATAAGTTGCTCTACATAAGTCCTCTATGTACTATTTAGTTTATAGTGAATGCAGTACATGCTGTAGTACATACAGATTGCTCAATATGGTGGCAGTTTGTAATTAGGAAGAAACTAGTATTTGTACAAAGTTTAGAAATTCTGGATAATATAACAGGACAAGTTAGATTAAAATGCAGTAGAGGAAACAGATTAGTAAAATATACATTATAGAAATGTTAGGCACTAGCTTCACTGATCCTCTTGTTTAGAGCTGTCATGAGTCACTTATCCATCTAGTCTTTCTGAGAGCAATATTATATAGGAGCATATACAAAGGTGATGTCCCCAAGAATATTAAATGTAAATTACATGCCAGTTTGTCTTTTAAAATTCACAAAAGGAAGGGCAAGAGTGTAGAGAGTAAAGAAGATGACCTTGACAGACCTGGTCCCAGAGCAACGAAGCAAAAAACCAATTCAAGCACAAAACATTCTGAGGGAAGGAGGAGAAGACTCAGACACCTCCATAGTTTCATAGGAGTACAAGCAGGAGGTTGGGGGAGTAAAGCACAATCAGGTTTGCAAGATCCTGTTACAGTAAAAATCTGTCTTAATAAAAATAGTTTCAGACTTCCCTGGGGTCTGTTTCCTGATCTGGTCTACATATGGAGCTGATAAAGAGTGACATTCGGTCCAGCCATTCAATTGAGTAATCAAGACTAGAATGGATCTAGAATTATGGTGATCTGAATATTATCACTATTGAAGGAAAATTTTACCAGTTCTATTTATAAGTAAATGGATAGATGTCATTACAACTCTTTTATAGCTTTATTGCATGGTTATATGTAAATATGCTAAGCATTTTTGGCCTTGGCCTTTTTAAATTTTGGTAGTACTTGATATGCCACTTTCTGGGATACTTATTTTTTGTATAGGAAAATGATGTTGTTGAATTATGAGGAAGGCCTTCGAGTGGTGATACATACATCCAATCTTATTGAGGAAGATTGGTACCAGAAAACACAAGGGTAAGAAAAATGTAGGATCTTTAATTTTCATAACTGCTAAACTGCCACTTCTTGAGTTGCTTTTTATTTATATATGTGTGCGTGTGTATAACATGTACATGATTACTAATTACACAGCTCCTTTAACATTTTATAAAAAATAAATTGATATTTTGGCTCATGAGTGCATGCCATGGGTTAGTACCTTCTCAACAGTCATTGAGCTGGTTATTCCCAGAGGATTCATTCTTGTTTATGTATTAGTTATTTCTTCCAGATTTCAAGGCAGTCTCCATAATACTTCCTCTTCTGTTTTTTCCCATAAAAACAATGCTGTAACTGGGCTGAGAAAGAGCAACTGGCCCAAAGTCACCTAGTGAACTTTCATTGCTGAGGGTGGACTTGAACCTGGGTCTTCCTGGTCCTGCCCCCCCACCCCAACTTCTTAAATGCAATACCATACTGGCTTTTGTTGGCTTGATTTGTGTGATTTAAAAATGTATCAGCAAATTTCCTGATCATACAGGTTCAAAAAGCAATGTGTCTAATAAATCCTATTCTTTATCATCTAAGGAATCTGAAATAATAGTTAATCATGTTACCCAGAAAGAAGCATTTCAGAAAAAAAAAGATTATTTGCTTATCTATAATCTGGTTTTGAATGACATAGAGGAAGTCTGAAATTGTAGTGAAGTTAATTACTGCCTAACTTCCAAGGGGGAAGATGCTTCCCTAGAGCTCATAGAAAAATGCTGTGAATATATTCTCTTATAATTGTTGTCTTTAACTGAGAAGGTAGTGCTTTGTTCTATTTCTCATACAACTCAAAGACGTAAAGAACCTTTTCATTCAGGTTAAAGGTTATTTCCTTTATGTAGAATGTTTGCTGTTAAAGGGGAATGATAGAAAATGTTCAGCTATTTTCTACATAATAGCTCTTTGCCCAGTTTCATTCATCAGTATAAGTGATATAATTCTAGTACTACTGCTTTAATGTCCTAAGATTGCCTTGTTGAAAATTGCTCTGCGTCAGGCTGTCCTGAACATTTATGCATATGCATACCTGCCTTTCCTTCCAACAGAGATAAATTATGGATGAGGAAACTGTTAAAAAATTATTATGTACCATACTACTCTGGACACTCTCTGTTTAGTGATATTGGGAGGAGACCTGGGGCTTTGTTAATCCTCATTTCCTCCTTATTCCTCCTCATTAACCCTAATATGGAGGCACCACATTTACAAACTTCCCTTTCATTCTGCATGCCGTGATAGAGTACTTAGCATGGTGGGAAAAGTTTTATTAAGTCCAGATGTATTTGCAAGTAGTCTGGGGATAACAGAAGCTGTCTCCTTCATAGAATTGAAGGAACTAACAAAAGTATTGAAGTGTCTTTGAATATTTATACTTCCTTTTTTTACAGTATGGTTTCAAGACCCAGTAGATGTTCATAGCTCAGGTTGATAGAATGTGAGAGAGTTCATAACTGAGTTTAACTTTGTTTTGAAAAAAACACAAATCGGATTTCTCAAAAAGTGAATGTGTTTCTTCTTTTTTAAACTATGAAATATGCTCTTGATAATGCTATTTTATTGCTTTTTTTTTTTTAAAACATTTTAGAATATGGCTCAGTCCTTTGTATCCAAGATTGCCTCCTGGGAGTGCTGAGTCTGATGGTGAATCTCATACACATTTTAAATCTGATCTAATAAGCTATTTGATGTCTTATAAATCTGCTACTCTAAATGAGTGGGTTGAAATAATTAAGCAACATAATCTTTCAGAGACAAGGTATATAATTCAATATATATTTATATTAAATAATTTCTGACAGTTCCAGTCTTCATTATAGTTATATAAAGGAAAATATCTGTTTCAATATAAGCAATTTTTAAACTGTAAAATTGCATTCATTGAAATAGGTTACAGCACTGAAGATGCATTGTTTGATTAGTTGTTTACTAAATGAAATGTAACTGTTTCTTCCTATGTTCAACAATTTAAGTTAGGTTCTGAGTAGAAGTTTTTTGTGAAGATGTTCCTAGGTTTTTTAATGTGCAGTAATGCAATTTTGGAAAACAATTATTTTAAGTACACTGTATTATATTGTATGCAGTATAATTACACTATAATAACATATGTACTATGATGCAATTTGAGAAGATACTAAATTTTGTGTGGGGGGGGTGTTCTTTTTAATGCAGAGTATATCTTATTGGGTCAACTCCAGGTCGATACCAAAGTAATGCAAAAGAAAAATGGGGTCATCTTAAACTGAGAAAGGTACTAGATGTTTATGCCTCTCATCTTTCCTATCTTTCTATGTAAATATTTATAGAATTATGGAGAGTTGGAATGAATTTCAGAGGTAATCTGGTTACTTGCTATTGTTGGAGATTCATTGCTAGCAGCTTTTCTAATAGATGGCCATTCAATCTTTGTTTGAAAACTGTTAATAAAGAGAATTCATCCACACACATACCCCCAGTTTATTTCAGGGTTAGAATTTTGGACCTGCAGGGAGTTCCTGGTCATGGTTAGCTGAAATTCCTTTCCTTGTTATTTTTAGCCTTTTAGTTTGAGTCTTTTCTTCTAAGACAACAAATAATTAAATAGGACAATTGGTGGTGGCGGTGTGTGAATATGTATTGGTGCCATTGGAGAATGCTGGTCAGCAGTGGAGAACCTGGAATGAAGACTGTAACAGAAGCTGGAGCAGAGAGGCCTACTAAATGGAGGCTCCAGAACTTGGAGTTCGTATTTTCCTCAGCTAATTGTACCAACATGTCATCAGCTGGCTTCTGATATAACCTGGGGTCCTGGCAGCTATACTATTAGATTGGAGGGCTACTCCAGCTCAGTACTGGGGATTGAGGGAGTAGCAGTGTAGTGAATGGCTGCTTGGGGTTGGCCTTGGGCTAGTCTAGAGTGATGGATGAGTACAGTTTGTGGGTCTGGTTGGTCACCTATGGAAACTTGGCATCCCCAGGCTGCTGAGTATCAAAGAGCAAGAGCAGCTAGAGTTGTTGTAGTATTGGATGTGGATGGTGGTTGGATGGATCCCTTGGTCAGGTGGAGGGAGAAGAGGTTGGAAAAAGACTGGGATGAGTAGAGAGGTGAGCGCAGTCAGTACCATAAGAGTAATGATGGGCAGAGGGAGACATAGGAATCTGAGGGCACTCTGGTTTTGGGGAAGACGGTATCAATGTTTGAGATCGATCCTGCCTTGTGGCCCTTAGTATCTGCCCCTGATTGATTGATTTTATCACAAGTTATTTAAAAAGTACACAGTAATACCAAAATAATACAAAAAATACAAAGATGTAAACAAAAATAAACAGAAAAAAACAAAGCCAAACAAAAAAGGGGAAAAGTATGAACTATCTAGGCATAGCACCTATATTTCAAGTTTTAAACATTATATGAAAATTTCAAATTAGAATAAAGCCTATTCTTTAAAATATTATGAAGTCTGTGCCAAACTAAACATACTGCATCATTTTTTGATTAGTGGAAAAAATGACTTTCAAAAATGGATAAATTACACACATCTTGAATCCAGTCCTTAATGTTTGGAATAACTGTCCTTTTCCATTTTTTCAAAATAATTATCTGAGCAGTTTCCCAAGGCCAATAATCAGTTCCTCAAAAACAATTGAATTCTACACTTCTGGAACATAATTCAACATAATGTTAACATCTTTAATTATCTATATATCTATGAAAATATTGTTCCAAAAAAATATACCAGTAATTAACAAGAACAAATCATATGCATTAACATTGCTGTAATTTTTTTTACATTGCCAAAGAGAAAACATACATCCTTTCAAATATATTCTTCCATGAATTCAATAAACCTGAAATGGAATCTTTTGATGCTTGGTTTCAGAAATGGACTATCAGAAGAAATAGCATTTCAGGTGTCTTTGAAGCAGTTAAAGCATTTGGTCCATGTTAAGCTATCAAGACATGATTGAATTAATTATTTTGCCACTGATGTGAATTAGGGAATACAGAATTTCTATCTGAAGTTGAGAGAAATCTTAACAGAGAGTAATTGTTCTAAAGTAACTACTCCAGATTCTATACTTTCCAATAGAACATCTTGCCATCTATTTTTAAACTTCTTCCATAAGTTTAAATTTTCATGAGCATCAAAATCTGATCTACAACCCAAAAAAACCCAAACATGTCTAGCTGTTCTCAGTCCCAGAAATGAGAGGCACTTTTTACTATATATCAACCCCAATAATCGCCAAGACCTTACTGAAAATAAGTAATAACTTTTGAATAAAGCCCACAAAGATTGACACTCTATTAAATTTTCATTCCATATAAATGTGGATGATCAGAGGTGACTTCTTTGAGAATCTGGTAAACTAAAAGCACTGCCATCAAAAGATCATTTTATTTAGCCAGTGAAATCCTTGGTAGCCTGTTTTCCCATATAAATGGGGTCTGTCCCCAATTGGCCCTTCAGGTTTTCCAGCAGTGAGTCGATTGCCGCTTAATTGAGTCCATCCACCTTGCTGCTTTTTTTTCCTTTTCCTCCCATCTTTCCCAGCATTATAGACTTCTCAAGACACTTAAGTCTTTGTATAATGTGTCCACAATCTGATCATTTGAGCCTGGTCATTTGTACCTCAGGTGAGAACTCTGAATTGATTTGTTCTATGTTCCAATTGTTTGTTTTCTTGTCTATCCATGATATTCTCAGGAATCTTCTCCAGCACCAAAATTCAAAAGCATCAAGTCTTTTTATATTATTTCAAAGCATGATTCTGACATGTATACACATCATAGCATCTGAATATCTTTACCAAGGCCTTCATTTTCTGCTCTACCAACTTCTAGTGTGTGGTGACTGCTGCTGTCTTTATTGTTGATAGTCAATACTGAAAGGCATTATCTATCCAGCACTTCAGTGTCTTTATTGTCAATTCTAAGGTTAACTGCTGTTTCTGTTGTCATTAGTTTGTCGTCTTTATATTTAACCTTAGTCCTATGTTTTCACTGTGCTCCTTGATTTTCATTACTAGAGCTTGCAGTCCATTTCCATTTCCAGCTAACAGTTTAGAGATATCAGCATAGCAAAGATTATTGATGTTTCTTCCTCCAGTTTTAAAGCCACGCTCCAGCTTCCCTCAATATACAAGTTTTAGGCAGGTGTGAAAAAATGCTGTAAAGTAAGAATGCTTTCAAAAATATGTATTGTAATTGTTTACGTTTATCAATTTACAAAATGCAAAGTGATCAAACAGAAGAGAAATCTAAATCAAATAAATATTTGGTGTGACTACCCTTTGG